AGGCAGCAACTCATCTGGCCCAATTTAATATCAGAATTGACTGGTGCCAGATGGACTCAGAACTATTTTGCCGACACTTTGCCGGATTGATGCCCCCGTCCTGTGCCGCCTGTAGCTTAACTTCCCACTCCACTGACTTGTGCCCTTGTGAGGCAGACCCTTCAACTTCTCACCACTCCTTCACCCCACACACTAGACAAGAAGGCGGACAGAGGGAAATGCTGGGCAGACCCATTGCGTTTCTGGGCAAGGCGCAGCTATGCAATAACGCTTTTTAACGCTGGTGCATGCAGCTTCAGCACATGCATGTTTTTGCACATCTGCTCCATTTGCTCCAGAACACATACCAAGACCATGTGCCCGGCCCGACTTTCACCTAAACTACAACTACATTTTTTTTATATTTCATCCATATTAAATTATGTTTCATAGCTAAATATTTGATGTTAAATGAAAGCCCTGTTTCCCCTAAATAAAATGATATATAAGAAGTCTGGGTACATTTAATATGAAAGAGGTGAATTACGGTTGGACAGACATATAGCGCAAATGCCAGATTTTGTACATTTGGCTCAGTCCTTAAGGGGTTAAAATGGAATGAGGCAAAAATGTGATTCTTCGTTAAACCATAAGTCTTATGGCTTGACTGGTGTGCAGATTTTTGTTAACATTGTATTAACTAGATAGTTAGATAGATAGACCGCACTCTCGGTCTTCATAAAATGTAGCTTTTAATGTTTACATTATTAAAAAAAAAGATAATAAAAATAGTAAACGTTTCAGTCCCCGATCGGGACTTTCCTTAGGACATCATGCTGTTCTGAGGAAAGTCCTGATCGAACACTAAAACGTTGACGCTGTTTAGCATCACATTCATTTTTTTTTAATAATGTAAACATTAAAAGCTGCGTTTTATGAAGACAGAGAGCGTGGACGTTTTATGAAGACAGAGAGTGTGACTACAGTCTGGCACCTGGCCTTTACAATTACACCAATGTCAGCCTGTGTGCATGGTATTTTTGGATTTAAATATATATATTAGTGCTTTATTCACTCATGACAGCACGCTTTAGCACTATGAATAGTTTTTGTTTGTGTTTTGTAGCAGCAAGCGTAGAGTGAATGTTCTGGTAATTTAGGCATCTGATCTTGGATATCATGTCTGTTATTGATTTTTTTTTTTTTTCAGAAAATGAGGGAAAAATTTTTTTCGTAGATTTTTATATCTGTCTGAAAAACAAATGCTCATGTCTAATAGTGAGTTGTTAGATTCAGCTAGCATATATGATTTCATATATTCCTTATGGTTTTTTGGCTTTTGACACAGTTTAGCATCTTTTTTTTTTTACCTACTTAATTTGCTTTCCTGCTAAAGTAGTCATATGGAGTTATTAACGCTTAACAAACACACACAAAAAAATAAATATATATATATATATATATATCTCTCAAAACAGAATGCATCTGTCATGGTTGATTATATATTTCTATGTTAAATTTTGTATATATATATTAATATTGTTTTTGTATTTTATTGTACCAGAGAAATCTCAATGTATCCTTCCTGGTAAAATATTGTATAAATAAATAATTTAAATGGTTGTATACAGCGCTGAGCTTCAGCACTGCATACAGCTTCATCTGTCAGTCTAGGGCAGAGGTGGCGAACCGGTGGCACGCCACGCCGCGCCCCCTCTGTGGGCACGCGGCCATAGGTCGCCGTGCGCTCCGCCGGCGCATCCATAAGGCGGCACAAGTGGCCGCCTTAGGGGGCACCGGCCCGGCAGGCTCAAAGCCGGAGTGACCGGCAGGAGGTGAGCGCAGAGCGCTCCCTCCTGCCAGGCACTCTGTGTAGCGTGGCCGAGCGCGCCGCGGTTTCCTGTACCCGGTCGGACGGAAATGAAGTGCTCACAGAGAGAGCACTTCCTGTCCGCCGGGTACAGGAAACTGAGCTCCGCGGCGCTCGGCCACGCTACAAGGTAGGAGACTGAGGGAGGGGGAAGGAGAC